GGTTAATTGGTATTTGATGGTATGCCTTAATCAGGTCGACATGACTAAAAATTTTAGTACCGTGCAATGCAGCAGTAAAATCGGCTAAGCATGGAATAGGGTATTTGTCTTTTATTGTTTGAGCGTTCAATGCTCGATAATCTCCTACAGGTCTCCATTCCAGACTTCCCTTTTTTGGAACCATGTGAAGTGGGGATGCATAATTGCTGCTCGAAGGTCTCAAATGCCCCAATTGCATCATAGTTTGAAATTCTTGTTTTGCTATTTTTAAGCGATCTGGAGCTAACCGACGAGGTTTTGCAACCACAGGTGGACCTTTAGTTATGATATAATGAACGGTGTTATGTTTAACAGGTTGGTTAGGATCTGGTAATCTAGTAACTGAAGGAAATTCTTTTAAAATTTTGTGATATGGTGTATCACTAAATACAGTTTTTACTGAATAAATGCTTGCATTTTTCACGCAACCGACGGTTTTAAAATGCGTTTTTAAATCTTTGAGACATTTGTTTCTGAGATCAGGCACCAATTCAAAGAAATGGAGAAAATCTGCTCCAAGAATGGGTGTACTAACATTTGCTATAAGAAAAGTCCATGTAAACTGTCGTCTTAATTTGAAATCCAAAGAAAGTGTTTTTTGACCATAAACATGAATAGTAGAAGAATTAGCAGCGAAAAGTGTTTGTTGGGACGAATTCCGTTTTTGAGAATTATTTGCTGGAAGTAAGGACACGTCAGAGCCGGTATCGACCAAGAATGAAAGGTTTGTTCTACGGTCACGAACGAACAGGCGACGTGAAACTTGAGGCAAAGAATAAGTCGCCTCTATTCTTTGCTGGTTTCGTTTCCCTGCCATGAACAAGGTTTTGTACATTTGTCATCTCTACACTTTTTCCCAAAACGTCTATGATACCAGCAAACAGAATAATCTCTCCTTTTGGAATTGCTTCTTTCCTTATTGCGATCTCCGCGATTTGGCGAGCGACCACGAGAAAGAGAAATGCGATCAATACGTTTGTTTAATTTTTCTATTTGTTTAAATAATTTATCCTCAAGAGACTGATCGACTGTGCGAGAAACGGCACAAGTCCCTGGGGTTGGATTTACTTCTAAAATTCTGTCGGCAATTTCTGCAGCTTTATCTACAGTTAAATTGGAAACCGCTGCCAAAATAGACTGAACAGTCGAAGGCAAACGTTGAAGGAATAATTCTAACATTAAGTTATCAGGAACATTTAAAGATTCTGCTCGACGTTTCATATTTCTAAGCAAATCGGAAGGTTTTCGAGAACCTAATTCTTCTCCAGATAATAATTGGCGAATTTCTTGCTGAGAAGATTCTCCTGAACGATTTATTAACTCAGTTTTAAGCTTTGTATATGGATCAATAGGGTCTGGTTTCATAAGTAAATCCCGTACTATTGATGCAATATCTGGAGGAAGATGAGCAACTACATAATTATATTTAGTAATGGATTCTGTGATAGGTTTGGGGGGTGGCAACAGCAAATGTACTTTCACACATAATAGACCATAAAGATGGGTCTGATCGGTTATAAACCGGAATTTGGACGGCATGAAACATCAGACATTGTGCAAGGTTTTTAAGCCAAAATAAAAGCAAAAATTTAACTAAAGAAAATGAAATTAAATGATAAGTAGAAAAACAGAATTATAAAATGATCTATAATTACTACTCATCTGTGATCCGGAGGACGAAAACCACCGATGTAATCCATTACTTCTGGTTTGGAGATCTTGAGTGATGGCTTGTAGTCAAAACCGAAAGTGCTTGAGAACTGTTCATACGATTTAACACAGTCCGGGTTACCATTATGGAAATTTCCTGTTATGTTTTTACCACCAATCCTCGAATTCCATATCACAGATTATGTTCTTACTGCATTAATATAAATATTAACAAGACATAGTGCACAATAAAAATTAAGCTTTATTTAGGAACTTCGCGCACACTGCCCGACAGCCTGCCTGTTTCGCTCTGCTCGCTACTCGTAAGAAACTTCTCCTCTAGGGTTGCCACACTTATCGGAGGGCGCAAGGCGCGCTCCTATCACCAATATTATACAGTACAAGCGAGTTGATCTCGGGACTTCGGCGATCCCAGATTTGAGATTTCTGGATTAGATCATTCTAAATAAAGATGCACGTAAAATAAATTGAAATATGAAATCGTGATTTTAATAATGAAGCATTTATGATTTAAAGGGTATCAAATTTACAAAAGAGCTTAATATTTATATGTTTACTTTTTATTAAATATTTCTTTCAATGTGATTTGTTTGATTTGTTTTCCTCTGCTAATAATACTTTAGACTAATAGTATAGACATATAGTTTCTTGTTCAGTTATTAAGTTCCATTGTTCAAGTCGTGTAATTGCTGTGTTCGAGAATTCCGAATAACTTGTCAATCAAAATTTTTTTCTCGTTCAGTAACCTCTCTGTTACTTTCTTCACTATCGTAGCTGTATTTTCTGGATTTAGAACCATACTACAGATACCGTTAATTGATTGGGGGGGGCATTGTCATCGCAATGAAAACTTTCTGTTTAATTTCGCTAAATTCTGCCGCCTGGTGCGGCCATGCGAGCGAGCTTGGCGCTGGTTCTGGCTTTATGTGAATAACAAATCAGTTATTCTTAATTCAAATAACACTAAATATAATCGTTTTGTCCTATGAGTATCATTAACAAAATCTATTTTTAGCATAAGGAAAGAAATTTCTGCTAAAAATCTCCCCTTGTTCAACGTTTTAGCGCATTAAACTTAAATCTGTAATCGGATAATACTCTGTTATTTGGCGTCGCTGCATGATTCATCACTCAAGTTGTCATCCGTTGATAAACATGCGGTGATGAAACAAAATACAATAAATAATGATTCGCGATTTCGGCATCAAGGATATAAAATATTAGTTGGTGTAAAATTAACAAATGTTTCGGTTTGAGATTATGCCAAGCAGATACGCAGCTATGGAGTCAAGTTACTAACACAAATTTATGCTAAAATAATTATTTCTTCAATAATGAGATATTTTATTTAGCGCCTAACTGAGATTAAGAATCGGGATTTCCGGCATGTTTTTTTATGATGAGGAAAAAAATCTAATGCGCGTGCGTAAAGCATACTCCTTCCCTTCAAAAAAGCCCTAAAAAATTAGTTGGTGGTGGCTTTGAGGTCTGGATTTTAGATCATTCCAGATATTGGATGTCCGGATCTCGGACTTTGTACTGTATATATAGAGAGAGACATCTTTCAAAATATAACTTACCAGTATGAATTCACTCTTTTAAAATAATTCTACTTTAATTAAACTTAGGAGATAATATAATCCATTAATCAATATTGTTTAGGAAATAAATTATATATATATATATAGTAAAAAATGTATATTTTCACTATTCAAGTATTCGCTGTGACAAGTATTCCCATCTTGTCACATGAACAGGCCTCTGTGGAAAAGGGCTTCTCTGTAAATAAAGCAATTGAAATTGAAAATTTAAGTGACTCAACATACATTTTTCAATGCACAGTATTTGATTACATAAAATTTTCTGGAGGTGTTTTTAATATCGAAATTAATAAAGAAATGAGATCAGCAGCTTCTGCAAGAAGTGGAGTTCGTTATTTAGAAGTTCAGTATTTAGAAGAACAAAAATCTTTAACTAAATCTGAAAATTCAAAGAGGAAAAGAAATATTATTGAGGAAGAAATTGATTATATGAAGCAGAAGAAAAAATTTCCTCAAAGGGACATTAAAGATATTAATGAAGAAGTAGATGCTTTAGCAGATGAAGCTGAGAGACCAGCAGGAACATTGATTTGTTTATCAAAGCAAATGAACTTAGAAGAATAGTTTAAAGAAAAGGAAATAGACATAAATAATTAGGTGTTAAGATAGCTGAAAAGATTTCAGATTTAAAAAAGCACAAATGTTTTGTATCTTTTATTGTATAGTTTATTATTCTAGTATCTTTCAAAAAAACCAAGGAAATAAATTGTATGTTTACAAATCAGTTATTTTAATTTTAATCTGCAAAATATTCTTACATTGTGATTATAATAGTAGTTGACTGTGTTTAAAAATAAATATCAAACAAGTTAAATAATAATCATGTAAATCTCTGAAATAGTGACTGTTATTAGTGTAAAATACACTTATACATGTTTTTCAAGAAATTATGTTCCTAATTTAATGTTATCTACTTCATAACTTGTAGGGAGTTAGTTTAATTTTTCAAAATTTTTTTATGGTAAGTATTAAATTGAATTTAATAATAGTGCATAATACACACTTCTGTTAGTTAAGTGAAATTACAAGCATGAAGTCGGTTGTATGGATAATTGCTTATATTCTTTTTTTTTTTTTTTTTTTTTTTTTTTTTTTTTTTTTTTTTTTTTTCTTTTTTTTTTTTCTTTTTTTTTTTTTTTTTTTTTTTTTTTTTTTTTTTTTTTTTTTTTTTTTTTTTTTTTTTTTTTTTTTTTTTTTTTTTTTTTTTTTTTTTTCTTTTTTTTCTTTTTTTTTTTTTTTTTTGTTTGTTTGCTGATAGGTTGTTAATTTTTTCTTTGATGGTCCTTAAAAGTCCTTAATTTTCATGTAAGGAAATGTGTACGAACCCTGTCTATACTTTAATGAACTGTTTGTTATTGATTGCAATCAGCATTAAGATGTTAGCTTAATACTTTTTTTATAAATCACTTGTAGAACGTAGGTGCTTTCTCTAAATTCTGTTTTCATTTACAATATAAAAAAAAGTGTTGGATGTAGGAGTTCATAATTATTAAGAGGAAGAGTATAGTGTGACAAATTTCTTGCAACATCTTTACATAGAGATTATAGAAATATTATATGTTTTATTAATTTTATGACATTATAGCTGCATGAAAGTCGTACATGGCAAATGTTCTGAACTCCGTATAAAATCTTGATATATTTTGACACAGTTGTATAATAAAATACTTTGCATAATTTATTTCTTAGAACTGTGGATTTGATCCAAAGAATATGAGAGTTTTTACACCAGAAGAACTTATTGAAGTGAGTATTGTATTAAAAAAAGAAGTTAAATTATATTTTTCATTTAGTGTGTTATGAATTTTGTCTTCCAGTATATTTGTTACAAAAATGCTAGTGCTGTAAACTTCTTAAACTTGTCTAATAATAGGATTATGAAGCAGTCGTATATACCCAGGGCAGTTCCTGTGAAAGTGTGGTTTATTTGATTATGGGCTTAGGGAGAGGAATGCCTTCTTGCAGGACTTTCTAAGGGAAACTGGTTAGAGGATTTCACATTATGCCTCCACTCATCAAAAATATTTAGCCTAAAAGAATTAAAATTGAATTCATCTTTTTAGCATGTGAACATTTTTTACATTAAAAGTAATTTAATGGCTTAATATTGAAACCAATTGATCTGGAACTCGCTAAATCATATCCAAAATTCACTGCCCTTGAACAAAAGTCTTGGTCTAGAACGGAGAATGCAGTTAACCGTCATAAAAACACCCTTGCAGTTAAATTCGAAAAACTTCTTTTACAATCTTCCAGTTCAAGTAGTTCAAAAAAATCTTCCCATTGTAAACATCAAGCCAATAGTTAATATTTCTAATGTTAGTCTTTCAGAAGAACAAGAGAGAATTCTAAAGTATAATTTTAACTTCTCACAAAAACCTGTAAACCCTCGATTCCAAAGAATTTTGGCTCCTATCGAAAAAGCTTTCAAGTTCAGTAAAGTTTCAGATTCACAGAAAGAAATGATTAGGCATCTTATCGCTCATAATGTGAGATTCAATAATAAACCTTTGAAACCAAAATCTAACTGCGAGAGAAAGAGCTACAATGCGCGAAATTCATTCTAACCCGGATATTATCATTTCAAAGGCCGACAAAGGTGGCCAGATAGTCGTCATGGATAAGAACACTTACATCGATGGTGTCACTAAACTCTTAAACGAAGGACCATATAATCCGATCCCTAAAGATCCTTCACCTTCGGACTTATCCAAAATAAAAACTGCGATCAAATCTTCGCAAATCATTTCAAGCAACTTAAAATATTCGCTTATCCCATCTGTTGCGAATTGTGCCAGATTATATGCTCTTCCCAAAATTCATAAAAGTGGTATTCCTTTCCGCCCTATTGTATCAAATTTAGGTACTGCCTCGTATCCTTTAGCTAAATATTTAGTTTCTAGATTTTCCACTCTATTAGACAATAACATTTACAACACCATAAAAATTTCAATAGAGTTTGTAAAAAAGGTTAAAAACATTTCTTCTAGTAATTTACTCATGGTTTCTTTTCTTTTGATGTAAAATCATTTATTCACCAATGTCCCAGTGGAGGGTGCATTAAGATGTCTAGAAACCAGACTTCGCGAATTTCATTTCTCTTGCATCAAAATTGAGGAGCTAATTTCTCTCACTCAACTCTGTTTAAAACAAACACATTTTGTTTTCCAAAATAAATATTACAAGCAAACTGAGGGATTAGCCATGGGAAGCCAGCCCCCTCAGTCCCATCCTGGCTGATATCTACATGCATTATTATGAATCAAAATTGTTTGAAACTTTAAACTTCCCGGCATGGTTCCTCTACATAGACGATACTTTTACCCTGTTTGAAGGTAATAAAGATGATTTAAATAAAGTTCTTTCAACAATGAATTCTATTGATCCCGCTATTCAGTTCACTTTTTGAACTCGAGACTTGCAATTCTCTTCCGTTCCGTTTCTCGACATTCTGGTCACACGTAACACATCCCCCAACTTCAGTACTACTGTTTACCGTAAACCTTCATCGGTTTGCCTTCCACCACACTTTAAATCATGTCATCCGACTAAACAAAAGTTAGCTTCATTTTATTCCTATGTTTTCCGTGCTCTTCAAGTTTGCTCCTCCAAACTAGCCCTTGATGAAGAACTAAATTATTTAAAAGCAATAGCTATTGACAGGGGCTTTTCACCCAGCATTATTAATCAAGCAGTTAAAAAATTCTCATCTGAACACACTAAAAGCCACACTCTTATTTTAGGAGATTATAAAAATTCTGTTGTCATTCCCTTCTTTCCCATCATTTAGCTATAAAGTTGCACAGATTTTTTGCAGAAATTTAACTTTCGGGTTGTTTATTCTATTCTCCCATCAATAAAATTCCAACTTCTATACTCAAGGACTCCATTCCGGATATGAATTCCTGGGGTATTTATAGGATTCCTTGCCAGTGTGGTTTAATTTACATTGGCCAAACTAAGAGAGCCTTAAAATTTCGCGTCAAAGAACATGAGGCATATGTTAGAAAAAAGGAAACACAGAAGTCTTCTGTTGCTCAACATTGCTGGTCCGAAAATCACACTTTCAATTTTTCTGCTGCCAAAATTATTCAAAAAACATCTTCCATTGGAGAACTGGATTTTCTAGAGGCATTTCACATTCATAAAAATCTTTCTGTTCTAGTTAACGATCCTAATTCCAATCCAAATTTGCCTTCGGCTTTTAGAGAAATTATGTTTTAGTTCTGGTTTCGCCAGGCGCCACTTGCTTATTCTTGTTCAGGCTTTCTTATCTTATCTAATCATTATTTCCTATCTTGTTCTTTTGTGGTTTTGCAGCTGAAGATGATGGTTCGGTAAAACCATCAAAACTAGTCCTGTGAAAATTTTGTAGGTATAACGCTGATTTTTGTTGTTTGACTTCTGAATTAGTATTTATTCGGCGTGTTATTGTGTCTCAATTGATTTTTGTAAGTATTTTGATATTTCTATGCTACTACTAATTTTTGAGCAAGGCAATATTTTTTTTTTTATTATTTTTAATTCCAGTCTGAAGCAGAAACTATGTTTGAAAATGTTAATGCATTGTCCTTGTTCTTTCTCTTGTGTGTAACCATCCTAACATTTCATTGGTCATCGCACTGCAGATCGTTATCAGCACTGAATGCTCCAAGTCTGTTGAATATATTCTATCTTGAACTCATTTTCTTTTCACTTATGCGCACACATTGGGTGTTTCTTCTTTGATAAAGATCTGTTCATCAATTAAACACACTTACAGGCAGAATAATTTCTCTAATCTTTTAATGAGTAAATATTAAAAACAATAATCTTTTAATGAGTAAATAAACATGCCTACATATTAAAAAAGCAAGATTTCAAATAAAGCTAAAAATAAAGGCAACAAAACAAAATTGAGTAATAATTATATAGAAGCATTAAAATATTTATAACGTTTCATTTGTTTTATTCCATTTTTGTAATATCCCATTCTTTAAGTTTTCCAGCCTAAATAGCAGATTAGTTTTGAACTTATTTCTGGACATAAAGTGGTAGTTGTTAAAGTGGCCACCATGCCTTATTACCCAAAAAAAAAAAAAAAGTTAATTTGTGATGTGCAGATTTCAGATGTTTCCGAAGACTTAAGAGATAGCTGCTTTAATAAAGAAGCATCTCTTAAGCTTTTAATCTGTTATTAAATAATGTATTTCCAAACTGTAGAAGTTAAGTACAGCTAGTGTAGTTCCTGTGAGTTAAATAAATGTAGTTAACTATTCTACTGTCTTGTATAATATTCGAGATCCGTAGAAGTTAATTGATTTTATAAATTTGTTGAAACTGGCTTTCTGTTTAGTAAGCACATTTTCACAAGTTTTTTAGTGTCCATGGATTGAATATAATTTATCTCTCATATGCGCCTTTCCAAACTTGCTTTTAATCCATATTGAGCAAAACTTTCTAAGTAGAAGGAGGGTAGAAAATCCTTTATTAAGATTTCGGTAATTTCCCACTGGTTATACTTATTTTTATTTAGGAGAAATTGAACGATTGTGATTTTATAAGGTTAACAATCCCTTTTTTTCCCCCGATCTGTTGAAAAATATGTAAGAAAAATTAAAAGTAAATAATTGGTAAGTTAAACTTCACCAAAATAATAACTTAGAAATAAGGAAAATATATTGTAGCACTATTTCTAATATAAATAACTAAAATAATAAATAATCTATGTAGTAAATAAAAATATGTAAAAAAATGTAAGAATATTAGAATTAAAAGGTGTGGTAAGTAGGAAGCTTAATGAATATTAGTAATGCTCTTCAGACATTATAAAATATAACTATGAATTAATTGTTGCCATTATTAAATTAATATATATTTTGTCAAATAACTTTTGATTTAGATTTAATGTGTTTATAAAATAATTTCTATCAAAATTATATATCTTTTCTTTTTTTAAATCCAAAAATTTGTCGACGTCTATATGTTGAATTTATGACAGAGGTAAAATAGTTTTTAAGTATGTTTCTAATCAAAATGCCAGAAGCAGGAATCTTCTTGTTTTTCTGTTTTCAATTATGTGTATATTTAATGTTTCACACTACATTAAAAGTAAGAAATATATGGAAATAAATTATGCATTAATCATAACTTGATTTTCCCTTCCTAGATAATGAAATCTTAATGCTTTTGAGAAAAAGTTTACTGAAAAAATAGTAAGGTTCATGACATTAAATTATATGCATATATTTAAAAAGAAAAGGAAAGTGAGAGAATGATGAATTTTTGTGATACAGTTATGTAAAAACTGCTCCTACTGTGCCTTGCTGTCAAATTTATAGTAATTGATATTATGCTATTTTCTTATATGTATGATATTTTAACTACTCATCTGAATACTGACTTAAATGATATTATGAACTTGTTTTGTTGAAAATTTCTAAAATTTTTCTAATCTGTAGCCTTTCCTTAGGTGTTTGAATTTTATTAAATGTTAAGCAGAATAAATTAATTGAATTGAAGGGAAAAGTAATTGAAGTCTTCAGAATTTATAATACATATAATAGTGTTATATTTTTATTTTATTTCTGCAAATTATATTTTTCAGCTATATGTAAGTGAAGAAAATACCACAGCTAATGCATATGATTTCAAGATAGCGTTAGATTTGTTGCAGTTTATCAAAAAGGTTACAAATTTTCATATTTTTGAAAATATATAATTTTACATAAACATATAAATTAATAAACATTAATATATAATATATATATGTATATATATGTATATGTATATTTGTAAACCTTATGGTGAGAATTTAATGAATCTGAAATTTGTCTTTGTTTAATATTGAATCATTTATCAGTATATATAATTTTTATCTTTGTAGCCACCTGGAGATCCTGATGTTAATAACTTGCGAATGCACATTTGGTCAAGAGCAGTTCTTAAAGATAAGTATGTCTATATTATTGTGTATTCTTCCCTCTTTCTTTTGAGATGAATAAAATAAATTGAGGAAAATGCCATCATTTTGAACTATGTTTTTGTCTGATTGTGGTGTAGTAATGAATGTTTTTTACTTTTAGTTGGGATGAGCTTGACATAAACAATCCATTAGAAGCCATTAAAGAAACAGTATTTTTTCAAATTATTGAATTAGCTTTTGATCAAGGTTGGTATATTTTTGCTTTAAATTTCAACTTTTATTTATTACTAGCAGGCAGTGTCAAAAGCAAGATTTATAAGTTACATGTACATCTGAAAAGAAAATGTATAAAAGTATTTCAATATGAATTATTTTAGCTTTATTTTGGCTTGATTTACAATTTTCAGCCATACAAAATAGGGTTGTATCAATGTTGTCATACAGACACTGTGTGATTATAAAACTGCTCTCTGTTGTACTTCTGTTTAACTCTGAATCATTGATCATCATGAGGAAAGAAAATTACGTATGTCATCAATTTGGATATAAAGTACTGATATTAATGAGACCAATGCCTCTTCCATGTATTTCATTATCTCTATTTGGTGGACTAACTCCATCTGCACTCTTGAAAACAACTGCAACTTCATTTTCTTTTAGAGTGTTGTAGCATCCTCTGTGCTCACCTGCAACAACACTTTCACCCTTAATTGTACGTATGGATAGCAGCAGCAGTTTCCGCACCTTACTCTCATATAGTTCCTTCTTCAAATTTTTTTCAGCATCTTGTCGGCTTCTTCATATGGATTCGATTTCCTTAAAACTACATCTAATTGTATCAGCAGTTCAGCATTCAGAATAAAATTTCCAAGTATATTCATTCTTTGTCTGAGGGCTTGATTTGAATTCTTGATCAGGATGAGGTGGATGAAGATGGTTTGCTTGATGATATATGGTACCATGAATTCTAAAACAACAGGGACCTGAACGTGTAGACATTTTTATATTGGCACCCAAGGAAGTAAAACTAATAAGACAGTTATAAGTACATATGTTAGTTGGTGGTTCCCATTCATTAAGTTACCCCATTCTTCTGTATATCTTCTTTCAACTTCTACAATTTTCCCATTATGACAGCAATGCATATACGAGGGCTATCCAGAAAGTAGATTACGTTTTGGAATAAAAAAATAAACAAAGTATAGGAAACAAATTTTATTATATACAGATGAAAGCCACACTCAAATACTACTTTTCTACATAGTCACCATACAAATTAAGGCATTTATCGTAGCGATGTACGAGCTTGGAAATTCCTTCGTCGAAAAATTCGGCCACCTGCGCCTTCAACCACTTCGTTACCTCTTCTTGCAGCTGTGCGTCGTCATCAAAACGCTGCATAGCCAGCCACTTCTTCATTGCTGGGAATAGGTGGAAGTCGCTCGGTGCCAGGTCGGGACTGTACGGCGGATGAGGAAACAACTCCCACTTAAAAGATTCAAGAACTTTACGAGTGACATTTGCCGTGTGGGGCCAGGCGTTGTCGTGAATCAACAAGATCTTAGAGCTCAACATTCCTCTGCGCTTGTTTTGAATTGCTCTTCTGAGTTTTTGGAGAGTTTGGCAATACGTTTGAGAGTTTATTGTAGTGCCTCTTTCCAGGAAGTCCACCAAAATTACACCTTTTCTGTCCCAAAAAACAGTCGCCATCATCTTCCTTGCCGACATTGTTTGCATGCATTTCTTGGGTTTTTTGGGGAGAACTTGTGTGCCCCCCACTGCATTGATTGCAATTTCGTTTCACAGTTCACATGTTTCACCCATGTTTTGTCACCAGTAACGATGCGATCGAGTAAAGAGTCACCATCCTTATGGTAAGCGTCCAAAAAGTTCAACGCTGCAGCCATTCGCTGATTTTTGTGGTCCTCTGTCAAGATTTTTTGGAATCCATCTTGCACAAAACTTGTGTAACCAAGCTTTTCGCTGATGATTTTGTGCAACAAACTTCGCGAAATTTGTGGAAAACTCAAAGAAAGTTCCGTTATTGTGAAATTTCGATTCTCACGGACTTTATCATCGACTTTTTTCGAGAAGTTCGGCGGTCCGCTATGCTGGGTCTCCCACTTCAATCTTCGTCGTGAACATTGGTTCGGCCATTTTGAAATCTTATGACCCACTGACGCACTCCACCTTCAGTGATAATGTTGTCCCCATACACTTCACGAAGCTGCCGATAGATTTCTATCGGTTTACAGTTTTTTGCAGTCAGAAACCTTATTACTGAGCGCACCTCGCAGCTCGCGGGATTTTCAATTAACGCAGACATTTCAAACCGTCACAGTATCTGAACGGAGCACAGCACGAACCTCTCACTAGCACGGCTAGATGCAGACTGAGCTGCGCAACGCTCTGACCCCAAGATGGCCGCGCTAGCCCCGCCCCTAGCGGACACAGACAGAAACGTAATCTACTTCCTGGATGGCCCTCGTATCTTCCATGTTCCTTTTTCCTGGAAAGAAAATTCCACTGTAGAGGTCACAGCAAGCTTCGTGTTGCTCGACGAAAACTTCAAAGACCACATCTTCCTGCATTATGAAGCGTGCTACGTTAATGTCCTGCTGTAGTCATGTGAAGCCTATCTTCTCATGTAGCCATTGTTTCTTCAGCTCAGACTTGTTTGTTATGTGAAGCATCTTGCATTCATCGTTTAGTGGCATTCTGTTCTAAGTCTCCCACTCGAATTTGACGGTGATATTGAGTCTTGTGTCCTTCATCTACATGCAATTTCTTCTGTTTCTTCATCACGCATATTCTGTTAACATTCCACTTGTCTATGAGTTTACTACTTGTTTCTGCTTTAGTTTCTTGAGCATGCAAATTTTGTTGGTTTTCTGCTTGTCTGCTGAGCTTCCTACTTATTTCTGCATCAGGTTCTTGAGCACTCAGCATTTCTTGAATTTCTGCTTGTCTGATGATTCTCCTATTTGTCTCTTCTTCAGTTGCTTCAGCTTTTAAGTTTTCTTGTTGATGTGCTTGCCTGATGAGTCTTCTAGCCATTTCTTCTTTAGTTTCTTGAGTATGTAAGTTTCTTGTCATTGTGTTTGCCTGCTGAGTCTCTTAATGGTTTCTTCTTCATTTTCTGTAGCTCACCATAACCTTTGTGCTTCAGCTCTTTGCCTTCTTAATGCATCTCCCGTAATGACTTTTTTGCGTTTTGGCATTTCAATAAATTGAAAAACAGATAGCACGTCTAAAATAATAAGTCAACTAAAATACATTAAATACCAGCAAAAGTTTAAACTGTACTCAAAAAGAAAATATGTAATAAAAGAAATTAAATATTTATGAATCAAATTATTAAAATGCACTGAAAAACAGAATAAAATGAACTATTAATTTAACGTAGTGTACACAAAGTGACTAGCTGTGGCCAAAGCAAAATTTATAAATTCTTTGTACACTTGAAAACAAAAACACATAAAAACATTTCAATATGAATGAAGTCAATTCATTCTTTCCAAGCAACAACCAATTTATAAATAATTATTTTGTTGCCAAACCAGGAAACAAAAGCATTTCAGATCACGTATGACATGATTTAAATTTAATGTAATGTAATAGCTTTTTCTTAATATTAATAAAAGAATTAACGTGGCAATAAAATAGCTTGTCAGTTATTGTAATCTGAAACAAAAACGTTGCCAATAGCAGCTAGTTTTTTAAAAATGCTGACATTATCGAAAAATGTTCGACATATAATGACATCACTTGCTTTCTTCAGCATTAAAATATTGCCTTATATAATAATGATATATTTAATGTTTGGCAATGCTATTTTTATTTCATATTTTATAAAACATAAAAAAAATTATTAACAAAATCTGCGATTTGAAAGCAAGCAGTGGCAATACCTATTGGTGTCTCTTCGTGAGTCATAATTTCAAAGATCGTTTCGTTTCAGGAGTCAAGGTTGGGAGAGCATTAGAATTTCAAATCAAAACTTCAAGATTTCACAGAACATAGAAATAACATTTATTAACGATAAACTTATATTACTTATATTACTTCTGCCTATAGCGGCCATGAAACATAATCAAGCATCAAAAAAATATGACATGCGTCATTCTTCATGTTCAAGCGTCAAGTGCTATATTTTTCATTGGCGCGCATCAAGAGCGCCACCTATCTACCAAAAAGATGGAACACCTATTGAAATAAAGAATTTTTATCTCAAGTGACTTCCAAGACTGCTGTTTCTCGAAAAAATGATGGCGAAAATTAGTGTTTTCAAGTTTTTAATTAATATCTCAGCTGATTAAATGCGCACAAAGATGAGAATGGTTGAAATGGCTTCCCACGAATTTTTGGGATCCGGAGAAACCTCTCTCGAAGCTCAACTCCCAGCTGTTCTGAAGGAGATGATGCCACAAACAAACATATAGATGGCTCCTTTAGCTAAACCAGAATTCTTGAATTTTTTTAATTGTTGAATACATTGTATGGCTGTTATTTATGTTTTTATTACATTATCAAAAGTACTGTAGTGTCCTTTATGATTCACTCTAGTAAAATTTAGTGACGTCCTGACGATATAAAAGTTTTATGACCTCAGCACCCCTTGGCTAAAATCCTGTATTCCTTATTGTTTGTATTGTTTGCGCATAAATAACTAACTAAAACGCTTACCTTTTAGACACTTTCAAATAATCTTATATATTTTTAAATATAATTACTTATAAAGAAAATAATTGTGGTAGAAGGAAAGACATAATAGAAAGGTAAAATTTTAAATTTTTTTGAGGAAGAAAGGAATACTTCATAAAAATAAATAACACGTTCTGTGTACTGCAGCAAAATAACTTTCAGAGTAATTTTGTGCTCTTAAACAAGAGTAAAAATAATATAGAAATATGCTGTTTACAAAAAACAGGGGGAAACAGCAGTAAGGTTGCCATAAATTAAATCGCCACACTAATTTTGCTGTTATAAATTTCTTAAGTCTTCTTTTCTTTACTACTTTTTTCATTATGAAGACTGTAAAATTTTCACTAGTTCTCTTTTTTCAAGTATCTATCCCTATTCATTGTCAATAAAAAATATTGGGGAAAAGAGGGGTTGGTTGTGCAGAATGTTAACTAAACAGTTATGAATGCTGTGAACAAATAAATTCTTGGCATGTATTAACCATATAAATTAAAAATTAATATTAAAGAACAGTTGGATATACATCAAAAAATGGGAATTTA